GAGTCTGGCCCGTAAGTGCCCCGCCAGCCCCGCGGCCCCTCGGCGCGCCCTGCTCCAGCACACCTGCTGCTCCCAAGGGACTGTCGGGAGCTGCCAGGGGGCCAGGACACCCGGCTCATCGTGCGACCTCCCTCCCCGCACTCCTTGCGCGGTGCCTCAGTTTCCCCATCTGCAAAGCAGGGAGACCCTGCCGAACCGAGGCACGGGTCGGAGGCAACGCTGTGGCCCTGGGGAGAGGGGTCCCACTCTCAAAAAGGGACGTTTGCTGCTAGCGAGGACCCCGACCTCCGTGACAGACCCGCACCTTGCCAGGACATCTCCGTCCCCTACATGGGAGGGAGAAGCCGGCCCTGGGCTGAGCCTGGGGGCTGCCCGTGCCTCCCTGAGGGCTTTCCTCCTCTCCCCTCCAGCTGGGTGGGCTTCGAGTACCCTGAGTACCAGGGGCAGCAGTTTATCCTGGAGAAGGGTGACTATCCCCGGTGGGAGGCCTGGAGCGGGAACAGCGGCTAACCAGCGGCTCCCGGACCGAGCACCTCCTCTCCTTCCGGCCCGTCAAGTGTGCGGTGAGTTACAGGGACGCCGTGCGCTCCCCTGGCAGCCCAGCATGGAGGGGGACAAGGGACAGACAGGAGAAGGGACAGACAGGCAGACGGACGATGTGGGATGTGGGATGGAGGAGTGAGGCACGCACAAAGGTTCCATGGGCAGAGGGATGGCTGCACCCACTGCCTCCCACCTCCCTGCGAGGATCCTGGGATGCTCTTTAGGGTTGAAATTTAGCCTGAAACACCGTCCCAGCTCCTCCTGCGCTGGAGAGCCACCTCCCAGGTTGGGGTGCCCAGGCCTTGTCCCCCCACCCCGGGTACCCAGTGAGCAGAGAGGAGCCGGCAGGACCGCAGGGATGCTTGGGGTGTGGGGTCCGTCCCCCCCTCCTTCACGGGGTACGCGAGCCCTGCCCAGGCAGATGCAGCCTCTATCGCTCCATCTGCAGAGACACTGGTGCTCGCAATAGCGGCACGTCTGCGCCTCCGAGCGGGGGGTCCCCCCCCAACTTTTAATAATCACCAGGCAGATATGCTTGGGCTTTAATAAAGGGGATGCGATAAGATCACTCCTTACTGGCAGGACTGC